GACAATTTTTTTTAAAAAAATTTTAAGTTTATTTATTTTTTGAGAGAGAGACAAGGGAGGGGCAAAGAGAGAGGGAAAGAGAGAGAGCACCCCAAGCAGGCTCTGCACTGTCAGCGCAGAGCCCCATGCAAGGCTTGAACTCATGAACCGTGAGATCATGACCTGAGCAGAAACCAAGAGCTTGACACTTAACTACTGAGCCACCTAGGTGCCCTTAAGACCATGACAATTCTAAAACAAATTATGTGACTAGGGAACAATTTCAAAAAAGAAATTTTTGTAAGTATAATAATGGCATGAATACTCAGTAAACATCATAAATATATATAGCATGATAGCAATTTTGAGGAAAGGATAGATTCATTAAAAATGGAAAGGAACTACAACCTATTGATAGCCATCATCTCTGGGTGATAGAATGATGAGTAATTTTTATTCTTTACAGTTTTCTATATTTTTCAAATTATCAAGAAAGAGCATGAATTACCAGGAAAAAAAGTACTATATTTTTCATATAAAGGCATTAGCATAGTAAATGAAATAAAGGCAAGTTAAAAGTGTGTGATGATGTATTTGATTACTTAAGAAAATTGGATGAACATTAAAAAAAAAAAAAAAAAAACGGTCAGAAGGACAGATTTAAAATACCAGAAGCAGATATGTCTATGTGGTAGCAATATGAGCAATTTTTATTTTCTCCTGGTTTACATATAGATGGGTTTCAATTTTCTAATATAAAATACACGTGTATAAGTTTTAAAACGTTAGAGTTAATGCCCCAAGAATTTAATAGTAAAGATTTCACTTTAGTATGTAAAGGACAAACAATTCATGCAAGAAGTATAACTAGTAAATACACACAAAGAAAAATCCAATCTCTGGTGCTAATTTAAGAAATACAAATGAGGCTGTTGAAATTAAACTAGTAAAATTATTTTAAAAACAATATTCAAGGATGTGGCACAGTTGATCTTTCACGCATTGCTAGTGATCTTGTCAATTACTACTACTTCTGGAAAAACAATGACAATATGTAGTAAAAACAATAAAAATATGGTAATCTAAGAAAATAATCTATAATATAAAGAATTCTATGTGCATGAAACTATGAATATAACATTATTATAATATTAAGAAGCTGGCAGGAAGTCCTATATATTTAACAATAGAAAATACTAGGTCAATTAACAGCATATTCAGTGGAATATTATGCAGCTTTAAAAAAAAGACAATTTAGTGAAATGGAAATGATAAAAGTATAAAATATATGGTTATTAACTATGTTTAAAAAAGCTTGAGAAAAATTAAAAGGGAATGAAATAACCATGATTAGGTAAGAGATGGTATTATGCATGATTTTTATTTTTTATCTGCCTTTTCTAAATTTCCTGTAATCATTTTTCACTGAAACATACACATATATACACACGCACAATAGTAACAAAGTAAAATTCATGCCATTATGGGAGCTAGAGTATCAAAGACAATAGGGATTATTTGTCCAAATCATATGGTAGATGCTCTCAGAATTCCCAGTTAGTGAAAATGCATCTTCTTTTTCTACTATGTAGCTAAAGTCTCCCACTGGCCTGTTAAATTAAGAAAATGGATAGGGGCATCTGGATGGCTCAGTTGGTTAAGCATCCGTCTCTTGATTTCAGTTCAGGTCGTGATCTCATAGTCATGAGACTGAGCCCTGCGTCCAGCTCTGCCCTGGGCGTGGAGCTTGCTTAAGGTTCTCTCTCTCCTTTTCTCTCTACACCTCTCCCACTTGCACTCTCAAATTAAAAAAAAAAAAAAAAGAAAGAAAAAAGAAAAGAAAACGGACAAATTCCTAGAACCATACATCAAAATTGAATCATGAGAAATAGGAAATACGAACAGAGCACTAATGAATAAGGAAAATGAATCAGTAATCAAAAACTTCCCAACAAAGAAAAGCCCAGGACCAGATAGTTGTAATGATGAATTCTACCAAATATTTAAAGAAGAATTTATGTCAATTCTTCTCCAACTCTTCCAAAACTCTGAAGAGAAGGGAACACTCCCAAATTCATTTTACAAGGGCAGAATACTCTAATATCAAAGCCAGATAAGGATACTACAAAAAAAAGAAAACTACACATCAAAATTCCGGATTAATACAGATGCAAAAATCCTCAAAAAAATATTAGCAAACTGAATTCAGTGGCACATTAAAAAGATCATAGACCATGATCAAGTAGAATTTATCCCTGCAACACAAGGGTGGTAGGACATATGTAAATCAATAAATGTGACACAGCACATTAATAGTATGAGAGATAAAAATCATATGATCATCTCGACATATGAGAAAAAGCATTTGACAAAATACAATAACCTTTTATAATAAAAGCTTCAATGAACTAGGTATAAAAGGAACATACTTCAACATAATAAAGGCCATACACAACAAACCCATAGCTAACATCATACTCGATAGGGAAAGGTTGAAAGCTTTTCCCTAAGATCAGGAACCACACAAGGGTGCCCAATCTCACCACTTTTCTTTTTTAAAATTTTATTTAAAAAAATGTTTTTTAATGTTTATTCATTTTTGAGAGACAGAGAGAGACAGAGCATGAGTGGGGAAGGGGCAGAGAGAAGGAGACACAGAATCTGAAGCAGGCTCCAGGCTCTGAGCTGTCAGCACAGAGCCCCATGCTCGGCTTGAACTCATGAACTGCGAGATCATGACCTGAGCCAAAGTCGGACGCCCAACCGACTGAGCCACTCAGGCACCCCCCACCCCCTCATCTCACCACTCTTTTTAAACATGGTACTGGAAGTCCTAGCTAGACAGCCAAATTGGAAAAGAAGTAGTAAATCTGTTTTTATTTGCAGATTATACGATTTTATACACAGGAAATCTCAACCAAAAAACTGTTAGAACTATCAACACATTCAGTAAAGTTGGAGGATACAAAATCAACTTACAGAAACCAGTTACATTTCTATACACTAACAACAAAATATCTGAAAAAGAAATAAAGAAAACAATCCCATTTATGACAGCATCAAAACCAATAAAATATGTAGGAATAAATTTAACCAAGGAAGTGAAAATTCAATACACTGAAAACTGTAATACGTTGATGACAGAAATTAAAGACACAAATGAAAAGCTATCCTGTCCATGTTCATAGATAGGAAAAATTAATTTGTTAAAATGTCCATACTGCCCAAAGCTATCTATAGATTTAACATATTCCCTATCAAGATTTCAATGACATTTTTTATACAAACAGAACAAAAGATCCTAAAATTTGTATGGAACCACAAAAGATCCCAGATAGCCAAAGCAATCCTGAGAGAAAAAAACAAAGCATCACTCACACTTCCTGATCCTAAACTATGCTACCAAGCTGCTATACCATTCAAAATAGCATAGTTCTGGCTTAAAATAGACACATAGACCAACAGAACAAATAACAGAGCCCAGAAACAACTCTGTGTCCATATACAGCCAACTAACATTTGACAAGGGAGCCAAGAGTGTTCAATGGGGAAAAAATTTTCTTTAATAAATGGTGCTAGGAAAACTGGATAAACACATAAAAAATAAAAAGGACCCCTATCTTATACCACTCACAAAAATTAACTTAAAATGGATTAAAGACTTAAGTGTAATATCGGACCATAAAACTTCTACAAGAAAACATAGGAAAGTAACTCCTTGACATTGGTTTTGGCACTTATTTTTTGGACATGACATCAAAAGTAGAAGCAACAAAAGCAGAAATAAGTGGCACTACATCAAACTAAAATTCTTCTGTACCGCAAAAGAAACAACAAACAATACGAAGAGTCAATCTATGGAATGAGAGAAAATATTTGGAAACCATATCTTTGGTAGGGAGTTGATATCCAAATTATATAAAGAACTCATACAAAGCAATAGCAAAAAAAAAAAAAAAAAAAAAAAAAAAAAAAAAAAAAAAAAAAAAAAAAAAAAAAAAAAAATGAACAATCCAATGTAAAACTGGGCAGAGGAAATGAACATTCTTCCAAAGACGACATGCAA